CCTACCCTGTATCATGATGCTTTTCATTTTTTAATTACAGTGATCACTTAGGGTTTGGCAGACACATGACTTAACAACTTCCCCAAACTACATGAAAATCCAAGATATGTGGTGCCCAAATGTATACAGACTATGGCCCTTCATATCCAAAATCTCATGATCACCTTACTCTTTTTTTTTTTTAATGGAGGCTTTCCCCCAAAACATGAAAGCAGACATTTCTATCTGGAGCACATGAATTGGATGGGTTGAAAATTATATTCATAGATCTGAATATAATGATCTGAAAATAGCAACACTGTCAAACAAACCCTGTGAGGCTCATTTTGGTAATACAGTTTACTTATAAGGGCTGAATCAACAACAACAAAAAGTTGTGGTCTTATTTTAATGAAATAAAAGCAGAAAAAAAATGCATCCTCTCAAGTTCTTAACTATTTTGAACTTTAAACATTTCTATCATGTTTTAAAATAGATATAAATCCTATAGAGCATGCAATTACTGCTTTTAAAAGCCTAAACAGACTAAACTGGAAAGTCATTAACAGAATCAAAAACGGTGTTGGGACTGCCCGTCTTGCCTGACCATGCTGTGATGTGTCACACGATTCAGCAGAGAGCAGCTGGGCACGTCTAGCACTTCCTTGCCATGGCAGGGGAAGGAACGTAGCTGAGTAGCATGCAGGCCAGTCAAAATTTATTTAGAAAGTGATTGTACGTGTACAACTTGCTTGGGTAACCTGGGCAAAAGTGGTGGCACGAGCCTCTGGCTGGTTAAAAAACACCAGAGTTTCATTCTTGAAGGCTCCAGCTTGATTTTACCCCTGTGAGAAGTAAGAATGGTAAGCAGTGAAGGTCACAGTATGATATTCCTAGATTGAGCTTTGGAATTCAACTTCAAATATGCTTCCTAAGAGCATTTATTCTATATCCTTCACCTGGGAAGACAATGAAACCTTTTAAGAACTAAATTGTAAAAAATCCATAATTATATAAAAATGTCAAGAAATCATGTTTATATAAAAACAAAATTCTACATTATATCTTGTCATAAGATATATACAATTCCAAGGTTTTACAAAATAAAAGGATCACTATTTTGAAATCCATGCCTTCAATTTCCTTAAAATTTTTTTCATGCAAAACTTTATGTTCGTTTCCATACCAGTCTGTTTATGTTACTGGTGCATGTAATAGATACACATATATAAAATATGTATTACATAATATAATAACAGCAATTCATATTTTTATCTCTAAAAACTTTTAGAGATCATTTCTCCCCAACTGTGGTATAGCTAGATATTTTGAAAATGAATGGAAGCAATAGAGCAGCTAGAGTTTTCAAATACTATCTAAATTAATGATTAAATTGCCTCTTCTTAAAGCAGAAATGTGTTGCAAATTTTTTTTTCTTTTCTTTCTTCCTTTCTTTTGATATGTATTTCTGTTAGGTTTAACTTGTATGGTTTTTCACTTTGTCAGCAAAGAGAAAGGATATTTTGTGTCCCCCAAAGCGCAGCCCAATGTTCTTTATCTACTTGTGTTCAAAAAACTAAGAAGCGCGAACCAATATGCCACTTTATGGATACGTTATTTTTAATTTTTTTTGTGTGTGTGTATGAGTGTGTGTGTGCAATAGCTAATAAAAAATAACAACCCAGCCAACATAAATGTGAATCTGATATGTGACCTGTGTTCAATGCCAGCAGTTTTCAGAAATTTCAGATCAAAGCTGAACTTCGCTGGAATTTATTTAAATCTATTCTATAATGCTGATTTTTACTTTTATTTTTGAAAACAGTGTACAGTTGACCCTGGGACGACACAGGTTTGAACTGTGCAGGTCCACTTACACACAGATTTTTTTCAATAGTAAATACTACAGCTACAGGATCCTCAGTTGGCTGAATTTGTAGATGTGGGAGTGCAGATATGAAATCATGTATATGGAGGGGCAACTGTAAATTATACTCGGATTTTCAACTGGATGTAGGGTTGACACCCCTAACTCCTGTGTTTTTCAAGGGTCAACTGTACTTTTAAACTTTGTGTGAGCATACGTGACAATTGCCCTATTATTCTTGCAAGGTTTTTCTGGTACTAATTTAAAAAATCATCCACATAAAACTTACTGCTGAATTTAATTTTACTGTGCAAAATAATTTGAAATTTTATCCTAACTTTATAAAAGTTTTAATTTTATATTTACTTTTAAGTATTTTACCTCTAATATATCTGTATACTTTAAACAATTTTATTACATTCTGTAATTGGATTCCATGTATCCAAAATTAGCTTGGAAGAGGACAGATGATTATAAAAAAAAAAATCACCCAATAAACAATTTTTGTTCAGATAATAAAATATTTTCAAGGACTTGAAAATAAAGACATTGTATCTCATTGTTCCAAGTTTATGATTTTTTAGTCAGTAAAAAAAAGGACATGACAATGAGGTAGTATTCTCCTAAAGCAATAATTTGAAATATCTATGGACATCATAGAGTTTTTTTTTTTTTTTTTTAACATCTTTATTGGAGTATAACTGCTTTACAATGTTGTGTTAGTTTCTCCTGTATAACAAAGTGAGTTTTTGAAGTATTCTGGAAAACAACTTTTTGGTAAAAAGAAATTAAGATATATCACTTCCATGAGTGCAGTGAGATGAAACCTGTGATGTTAACATAGCAAATGTTTCTCTGCCTCTTTGGCTTTTCTATCTCTTCTTGACCCCAAACTAGTCTTGTCCCTAGTCTTCCCTTATTTTCTCTTTGTAATTACTTCTTTAGGGAACTCCTCTATTTTCAAGGAATCAGATAATTATGAAATCTGCGTTATTAAATCTATTTTTAAACCCTGACTGCTCATTCAGTCTCTCGTTCTCACTATATCCCACTTCTAATTCAGTATGTCCCAATTGAATTCTTTCTCTTCCCCCATAAACCTGGTAACCTTCTTAAAAAGGCCATTTCAGACAGTTGCATCACCATTTTCCCAATTTCTCAGATTCTTTACTAGGTTGCTCAAAAGCCAGTTAGTCTCAGTTCCCATACTTATTACCGTAGCCCAGAATTCTGTCACCTCATTATTATCAAATGATTGTTACCACATTCCCCAAGATAACAGTTCTCACTCTAAACGGTTTTACTTATTGCTATCAAATAAATTTTCCTAAAACATCACTTTCCTATTGCTTTTCACCTGCTTGAGAACAAATAGCACCTTATTGACTATGCAGCCAATTCCAAGCTCCTTGACTTACTTCAAAGACTGTATAATCTGAAACTACCTTACTCACCCATGCATATTTTTCCAGTCTTTTCAACCAATACTTTATACATGCTGATTATTTCACTGCTGCACCTTAACACTAAGCTCACTCTAACTCTGGCTTTTGTTTAGTAAGTTTCTGCTTTTTGCTTTCTGTTCATGTATTTGACCCACATTTTGAGGCCTACTTTAATTTTATCTCTTCCGTTTAACAATTTGCTATGTTCTTGCTGTTCTCAATACTTGTATAATCTTGTATTCAGTCCTACAGGATCAAACTTTTTAATAGGTTTTTAATAATTTCGTGAGTTAGTATTAGCTTCCTCAAAGATGTTGAGATTTCCCTGAAGGGGGTTATGTTATGAATCTCTCCTTTAACTCTTCCTTACCCTTAGTATCCAGCAGAGTGCTGAATTCACAAAAGTGCTCAATAAATGCCTGTTAATTAATTGATGATTTTCTTAAATAAATCTATGTCAAGTAATGGAAAATAAAATTAGAATTGAATCCTTATTTTATCAGAATGAGCAACACATAAATTAGAATTGAACTCTCTAAGTAGACTTTGAGTGGAATTTTGGAGAAAGAATGTTGTACCTCATTTTGTGTGTATTTTTACCTTTTTCAAAATATTTTCAAATTTACCATTATAATATATCTCAGAAGCTCTGAAATGCCTGAAAAAAAGGATCGGGAGGCCATTAGTTGTGACACTGTCAACTATTTACTACTTATACAAATTCTGTTGACATATTACTAAAAAAAGAAAGTTCCAAGATATGCAAATATGCTCACAGAATCAGACATCATTTGTCTGATTCCTATGGTGTCAATATTTATACCCTCTTGCTAAAACCTGTCTTTTATAACCCTGTACTAGACTTAACTTCCTACTTCCTACTGGTATATCAGAAGTCTATAAATAAGTAATAATAAAAAATTTAATCCTGTTCTGCACAATGCAGAATTGCAAAATTAATACCACTAAGCTACTATCATAGGATCCTATGAATTTTAATCCTACAGGAGGAACAATTTCCTTTCTTTTCTTTTAAATAAATAGTAATATGACAGTAAGAACAGCTTTCCAGTCTACAGTTTAACTGTAATCCTTAAGTAGAGTTTTTCTAAATAGTTCTTACTATTTCCAAGTTAATCTGGAAGACCTTATAGATTTGCTCATCCTTGACTGGGCAAAATGTAATCAGTACTACTTTTAATTTCCTAATATGTGTAAAATTTTAATAAATGAATAATACTCTTATCATAGGCAATAAAAGGTTTAGAGGAGAACAAAAAGTACACAAAACTTTCACATTAAAAAAAATCATAGCAAAACTTAATATATTATAGAAAGTAAGGAGATAACACTTTAACAACGATCAATAGATTACGGTTCATTGTTTTTTTTTCTAAAGAGCCTAATCGAATGTAGAATAGAATGTATTAAATAAAATCTGTTTTTTTGAAGGCCACATCTTTTAATCAGACTTTCAAACTATCAAGAAGATGAATATACTAATTATTCAGAATGATGATTTTCTGTGGAAAGTTGGAATTTCAATGGATGGAATTCTCAAAAAAGAATATCTCATAATTTTCCAACATTACTGTATATATGACTTTCAATACACTTTTTAATAATGCATATAAGCACAATAAAAATACTAAGTAACTGGTACATGGTTTTTATAGGAAATGCAAGAAAAACTTTAAAAGCATTCTTACCTCTTTGCTTTCTTCTAGTTCTGACTCACTGCTGAACTCCTCAGTATTTAAGTTTTCAAAGTCAGACTCTCCAACAGCAATTGGCACTGTTACAGTGAGGCTGGGATTATTTATGAATGACATATAGTCATTTTCATCGATTACATATTTTTCAGCACTGCTTCCAGTACCTACACCACTGGTGGTTCCATTCCCATCCTTAAGATAATTAAGCTCTTTGCTTATTTCAATCCCAGTATTATTGGACACACAGCTGTCTATTTTGTTGCCTTCATGGATTTCTATAACTTTTGGCTTTCTAAAAAAGGTTTTTTGGAAACACTCCTGTATCTTATTTTTCACATAATCAATTCCCTTTTGCATCCTTCCTACTGCAATCTGGAGATTGTTCATTTCATTATCATCATCAGTGGCAGCAAGATTGTCTGAGCTAAATGAACTCAACAATAAGGCCAGAAAGAGGTTCAGAACCTAAAAGAAAAAAAGAAAATTTTGCTGTATTAATATTGAAGTATGCATAAACATAATAGCTTAAACAGGGAACTCATAGATCTTTGCTAAAATTAATTCAACAACTGCTTCTTGAATGCTTACTGTATTTCAGAAACCTTGTCTTAATCACACACCATTTAAAGAACCTGAAATCTTCTACCTGCTCTAAGGACAAAATGGTAAAACAAGCACCCTTCCTTTCAAACCGAGAAGGACAACAGGAAATTGGAGGTTCTAAGATTTAAATTGTGTCTACTCAGGGTTGCCAGTGAAAAGACAAAAATCCCATTTTTGTGGTTTTGGCCAATGAGGAAAAAAAGAGATATTTTCATTTTAGTCATTTTACTGCATTTTACCAGTTTGTCTAGGGAATGTCTAGCTTCATGTGTGTAAATAATGAATTTATCTGTTTAATAGCCTGATGGATATGTGTTAAAACAACATACTTGAAATACAAATTCCATTGTCCAATGACCACAAACTTTTATAGCAGCAGAAATTACTAAAGGCGAATTATAAAAGGTTGAACACATTTCTCATCAGTATACTTTGAAATATATGTGTCCAAATAGTTCAACAGATGGAGAGAAGTCTAAAATTATTCCAGGGTTTAGGCTGGACCCATATAATGTAAATTAGTTTTCTTTTTACTTTTTTTTTTTGCAGAAAATATGAAGAAATCTCAGTGTATCACTTGGATACATGGGGAAAAATATTACCCAATTAACTGATAAAATATGAATAATAGAAGAAGAATTCATTATAGCTGATGCAAAAGAAAATTTATTTATAGTAATATTTTTAGCTTGAAATGTAGCTACTGAGTTTCAAAATATGTTACATGGTAGGAAGACTCATGCTAAGCCAGAACCCCAGTTTGTTGCCTTATTTTTATATCAGATTTGTTCAGAATCTAGAGCTTCCTTATTTACTATTCTGAAAAAAATTGCATGTCCACAGGTATCCCACAAACATTCTTTTAAGCAGTCTCATTTGAAATGTACTTCTCAAAGGAAAGGTTCAGTATGATAGCATAAAGAAACACTCTGACCACACATGATTGAAAAATGTAAGCATTAAAACACATAAACATACAAATTGTGCTTCTATATTAGTGCTTTTAAGTCAGAGCTAAAAGTAAGTCTTTTAAATCTGGTCAGTGTTTATACATGTGCATAACTTAAACCGCAATAATTTATTTTCCTTTAATAAAGCAAATTCAGGGAAGAATATATTTCCAAGTTGTTTGGATAATTACAATACACAGCTAAAATATAATGCACTATTTCATTGAAATTTGTCTTCAAAATTTGGTAATATGCAACTTATGCCTTTGAGTAAGCAAACAATATGAACTATGTATGTGTAAAGAACAGTTTCAATAGTCTTTTGTTTAGAATTACTGGAGATCATTATCTCATCAAAATAATAATAGAATAAAAATAATTCAGGCCATAAAAAATAATATTAGGACAAAGTTAGTCTTGATAAAAACATTTTTTTGAAGAAGGAAAACTAATATTTTTGTCCCTGGACTGTCACGGGTATACCTCATGTAATCCTCACATAAACCATAAGATTTCAGTTTTGTTACTCCAGTTTCATAGTCGGGGAATTTTAGGCTGAGAGAAGTTAAGCAACTTGCCCATGTTCAGAGTGCTAGTACTGGGATTTGAGTCTATGTTGTTGATGATAAAACCAGATGTGTCTGCTGCATCAGGCCACCTTCTTAGCCACTGTCTGATCTTGTTCTTAATTATTAGCATTTGTAATACATACGTACCACCAGGTTTCCAATGACCATGACCAACATGAAAACGATAAGGCACATGGTTTGGCCAGCGACCTCCATGCAGTCCCACATGGTCTCTATCCACTCTCCACACAGCACTCGGAACACAATCAGGAAGGAGTGGAAGAAGTCATTCATGTGCCAGCGTGGGAGTTGACAGTCACTAGAGATCTTGCAGACACATTCTCTGTAGCTCTTACCAAAGAGCTGCATGCCGACCACAGCAAAAATGAAGACGATGATGGCCAACACCAAGGTGAGGTTACCTAGAGCCCCCACTGAATTGCCAATGATCTTAATTAGCATATTCAGGGTGGGCCAGGATTTTGCCAGCTTGAAAACTCGAAGCTGTAATCAAGTGAAAATATACTCTTAGTAGTAGTCACAATATAATTTAAAAAGTTAGTTAGACATTTTATCAGTATGATACTATATTGTAGTCCCACCTCTGAGGAATATAAAATCTCAAACTATGCTAAAATTCAAATCCAGAAAAAAGTGTTAATAATACTGGAATTGTAAATCAAATCATAATATCATTTAAGTGCAAATATAAGAGAGAGAAAATATTTCAGAAGTGATAAAACATTTCTGATTCATCAACAGATATATCCATGAAAACAATTAGTACTTTGATTACAGACGTTTGTGAATTTAGCAAGCTAATGTCACCTCCAACTATATTTTAGAGAGTAAAAAGAAATATTAAAAGTATGAGTTATATATATATATATTTTTTTGCGGTACGCGGGCCCCTCACTGCTGCGGCCTCTCCCCCTGCGGAGCACAGGCCGCGGACGCGCAGGCCCAGCGGCCATGGCCCATGGGCCCAGCCGCTCCGCGGCATGCGGGACCCTCCCGGACTGGGGCACAAACCCGTGTCTCCTGCATCGTCAGGCGGACTCTCAACCACTGCGCCACCAGGGAAGCCCTGAGTTATATATTTTTAATGGACATTTATAATATAAAAGTAAAATAAATTAATTTGATAAACTTAAGGAAAAGCTTCTTTTCAATTTGAAAAATACACATTTTACTTAATTTCCAATAAAATTTTGCATATTTTAAAATAATTTTTTTTGCTAAATTCAAAAAAATTTGCTATACCATTGTCTAAAGTGCTAATGGGATCAAATATTTTCCCACATATTCCTTTAAAGTAGTTACCACTAATATAAGTAAGGTTGATAAAAAGATAAGATTAATTGGGTATAAAGTTTTTATTTATATTTCTTTAGAGACTTTAAAGCAAATTTTTTAAATGAATTTAAAACAATTTTAGAAGCACATGTGTGTTTTTAAATGTGCCTTATATAGTTAATTATTATGAAGTGTTTCAACCATTTTTCATCATTCTTGATAAACAGTCACACTCAGCTTTAAAGAGAACATTTATATATTTTCTTAGAATATCACACATACTGGTTTAAGTTTAAAATATCATTGGGGTAAAAAGCTATAAAAACTATACACATTGATTCATTTTTGAAATAAGTATTTTGCCAATGAAAGATAGAATATAAACATAGTCTATGCAGATACCAGTCTGAACGATCTCAGTACAGACAGTCCCTCCACATTTGCCAGGCCAAGCTCCATTAAACTAAGGCTGACAATAATTCCATCAAAGATATTCCAGCCCTCTTGGAAATAATAATATGGATCCATGGCAATGATCTTGAGGACCATTTCTGCTGTGAAGATCCCAGTGAAGACCTAAAGTAAAATAGAGATCAGTACTTCAAGCACTGAAAAAGTTTTGACACTTTAAGAATTTGTAAAGAAGGTTAAACAGTTATGAGTAAAAATATCTAAAATTTAAAGTGAAGAAATGTGACAAATGGATATACAAGTTTAGCATTTTTTCAGGGGAATATTTTAAGTGGATTTGTGTTAGTTAATGAATCTGCTAGATTTCCAAGACAATGCTGATTTGAAAACATTTCATTGTCCACATTTGAAATCTGATACTAAATAATAGCTACTGAATTATTGCCTTTTTTGGTACCCTATGTTTCTACCATAATCACAACCAATTTTTTTTAAGTATTGCAATAAGAACAATTTATGTATTATTGGAAGTCACTCAAAAATTACTTCAAATTGGTAAAAACCATATTTTGTTCTTCATTTTTATTTGTTTTTAAGGGACACCATCTTATTTCTATAATTTTATAAACATTCCTGAAATAAGAGTGAGTTTGCCACAAATGTTTTATAATAATTATCTCTGGATTTATGCCTCAGAATTAAGGTTAATGGATAAGTAGAGCAAGGAACTGCAGATTTAATTGAAAGCATCAGGAGAACATTCTCAGTATACATACACCCAAAATTAGGGTTAATAAATTATTTGAGTGGCTGGATGAATGTCTATTTGAAAATGGTTTTGTTTTTTAATTCAAAACCACAGGCTAAGACGCCCAAGGACATGAAGAGCTATGAAATTACTCTTGCGAAAAATCTTTTAAAGCAATTATATTAATTAACTATATGTAAAAGCTGCATATTATGACTAAAGTCAAGCTTACCACTTACCAAGGTAAATCAGCCTTTACCTTGGAGGAACTTTGTCAAAATAACAGTATCAAAATTATTTGGTTTCCTAAAATATATTAATTAAAGGAAATCTTGTTCTACTCTTACAAAGTATAATTGCAGCCAGCATCTCATTTTCCCAACCACAGAAAGACCTAAGGGAAATACCCATACCAGAAAAGATAGCTTAACTTCAGTTCATCATTCATTCACTCAAATAGAAGTAAAATGTAATTCAAGCAAGCTTAGTACATGAAAATCCAGATATGCTGGAATGCACATTAAAAAGTGATTTTTTTCATTTATAGAAGGACTTACCCTGGGGTATTTTTTCCCTGGTGAATGTAAAATAAGTTCTGATTTATATGAATTTTATTTCTTATATAAAGTTTTAGGAGCAGCTACTATTTGAAATAAACAGCCTGATTATAGAAATATATTAGTTAAATTGAGTTAGAAACAATCCAGGTAAATGATCTACAAATATCTCTTCCTACAGAAAATCATAAGGTGAACTTTTCAGCTCTTCTGAAATGACTAGAAGATGTCCTGCATTTTAAAAACCCATACCTTAAACTTACATTCTTTCATCTAAAATTTAATCCCAGCATGAAATTCTCTTTAAAAATAACATTTTAATTACAATTTGCAGTTTAATGTCATAGCTATTTATCTCTCTAAATGCTTTCAATTTAGGCCCTAAAAATCATTGGGATTGTTTTACGTACATTTTAGTCTAGTTTAGCATTGTCAGTGATTAAGAGTTTTGAAAAAAATCTTTCTCATTCTAGCAAAGGTCAACTGAGGCTATTGATCATGATGCTCATGTTTATAAAATTTTAAAACTCCATCAGAAAATGCTAAGAACACAGAGAACTGCAACCCCTGGATATGTATATGGTTATGTACATAAATCCGTGTATGGTTTATAAACATACATTCTGCTGCCTTTGAATTTCTTTATCATGAAGAATTTTTAAGACTAAGACAATTAATAAAAACATACTGAATGTTTATTGTTTGGACTTAGCCTAATTATAATATATCTTGTCTTCTGAAGAAGCTTTTTGTTTTTTGAAATTTTGGATTATGTGTTTCTGTAGCCATTCATTCATTAATAAAAAATTGCTGAGGCCTTACTAGACGTTGTACTAGGCTTTGAAAATGCAGTACTAATTAGGATATACAAACTGAGAATGCATAAACCTAATTCATTTAGGCTGATAAATTTCTTATGGACAATACATCTATAGGCTTCCTAAGCCAGCTTCTTTAATGAGGAGATAAGTTCAGTGAAAAGTTTCTAACCTATTGTACGTGATGACACAAGACAATCAGCAAAAGTGTAAGTGCTAAAGATGGGGATGAGAATCAGCCTGGGAGTCTGGACCAAGAGTAAACAAATTTCAAGTATTTTGTTTTGGGGGGCACTGGGCTTGGATGATCAAATGTTAGGGCTTAAGGTCTCAGTTCAGAGATAAGAAAGTTTCCTCACTGAGTATTTACTTAGAGAGGAAAGTTCTGTTGATACATACATTAAAAAGATAGAAGTGTTAGTTCTAAAGGCTCAAGTTTGAATATTGATCAGTTTTGCTCCACAGAACCTCTTCTTGTCCAGACTGACATTCCACTCTTTTGTAGTGAATTTGACATAACTGTAGCCACCTCTCGCTCCATTACTATTAGCTTCTTGTTTTAATGACTTTAGTTTTATCATCCTCATGCCTTTTGGGTTTGTATCTTTAAATATTTGTTGTTGTTGTTGATTCCTTTTTGAAGGATGAAATTGAAATATATTTAAAGAAAAATGGTGGGACCTCATTTAACATTTATGATTTTCTTTTATCTCATCTGTCAAAATGAGGATAGTAAGATGATTCATCAGGTCTGAGTTTAATATTCTTGGATTTCTATCAGTATTATATTGCTTAGCAAATTTTATTACAAACTGCAGTGTACACACAAGTATTGTTACACAAGAGCTTTATTAGTAGTTGTTAGAAAGAGACGAGAAGGCAGTTTTATATTACACTAGGAGACGAGTTAGATGGCCAAATAGCACTTCTTCATTGATGAGAGAGGCTTCATTGATGAGAGAGGCTTCATAGGTGAGGTCTAGAATTTGGCTCCCATGGGTTTTATCTTTCAATAAACGAGCCATTTTTTTCCTTCAAAAAGTTATCATGTCCCTTTCCTGAGATTTTGAATTCATATCCTACACCACACCATTTAATTAAAATAATTTTGCTAATTATGTTTCTTTAGACTTTTATTTGCAAATAGCCTGTAAGATTTTTAGAACAGGTACCATTTTCTAAGTTCCCATCTAGGTCTAGCAGAATAAAGGGATATCATGGACCTCTAATCACTGGTTAGGAGAGTTATAGTAAGAAAAATAATTAGTGTAGGAGCTACAGATCTCTATCAATATTCCCTGAAGAAAAAGTTACAGGTTAGTTGGAAATGTTTGTATGATGAAGAGGTTATCTAACCTACTATGATTGATGGAAGATTCCTTGCTTATAGAATCCCTAAGATGAGTGCATGGATTTTATAATGGTTAAAACAAAATTTAAAAATGAAAGCAAAACCGAGCATCTTAGAGAAACTCAATAGAGATTTGAGGTCTCTTGATACTCAAATTTGATCAATCCAATCAACAGGAAGTGATGTAATTTTTATATGCTCCAGAAAGAGGAAACAAAAAGGCACATTGATCTAAGTAAAGACTGGAAGTTCCATAACTCTTTTATGGAACATTCTTTTGTTATCAATTCAACCAAAAAACTCGATGTCCTTATTTATAAGGCAATATGCAATCATTTGTGTAGTAATAAACTAGTCCATAGAAATTTTAAATTTATTTTAATGAGCAAACTGTAAACTCCCCACAGAATATGCGATGTAACATCCATCCATGGAGTATAATATAAATCTAAATTCAGCTAAGTACCCATGCTATAAGGAATATATTCTCTCTTTTTCTCTGTGTATATATATATTATATATATATAATTTTTCATATATAAATATTTATTATAAAGCTTGTTATGGGTATAAAATAAGATATGCAAAACTATGAAATACTTTACAGATATACAACATTATTACTACTACTCATAATGAGCTTTTAGCCAATAGTAACAGTCAGTTTACACATTCTCTTATTCCTACGGTTAGAAATAGTTAAGTCTGTTCTTTGTCGTCTACACTCTCTGTCTTCAAGAGTCTTGTTTTCCCAACACTAAGCTCAGCTTATGCATGGTTCTACCACAAACAGTCAACCAGTGGTAGAACCCCACTTCCCTACTTCATTATCTCCATCACTACTCAAAGTTACAGATTTTAGAATGAGGGACATCTAGTCCAACACATTGTGCTCATGAGAAGGAAATACTTGTGACTTTTTTAAGACCACCCAGATATTTAGCATGGACAACTGGATTTGGACCCAGATTTGGGTCCAGATATTTAGCATGGACAACTGGATTTGGACCCAGATTTGGTGCTTTAGTCTAGTGCTTTTCCATTTGATTGTCCTATAATCCAATGTCTCTTATCCTGTCCCTCCATACTCAGTTGCTTCAACATTGAAATTCTATAAAACCTGTTTCCTGTTTCACTCTGACAAATTTCCAAAATCTTCCCTAACTGTTCAACTTCCCTAACTGTCTAATATCCTGGGAAAAATACAGCAGCAAGAGTAGAACTATTTTCCGTCAGTATTTCAAAGAAAGGTTAATAGCATACAGAACAGGAAGGAAATTGTTTATTGAGCACGTGCTACATGCCAGGCACAGTGCTACCTGTTTTCACATTATCTCATTAGATCTTCACAACAACTCTGGGAGATGAATATTATTATATCCATTTCAATAATAGAAAACAAAGACTCAGATTTTTTATCAAACATGTCCAGATGCTTCATTATTCGTAAGGTCAAACCCAGTTCCACCTGACTCCAAACCCATGTTCTTTTATGAAAAGATGCTGCATGATGCCTTTTTGGGTAGGAAACAACCAGTTGGTTATTTATCGAGCTACAACCATATAAACGCTCTTCAAGATACAAAAGAAAAATGGGATGTGAGCTCTGCCATGGAGTAATTTATAGTGGATTTTGTTTTATATTCAACTAAGTTCTATTCACAAATGCATTAGGAATTAAGAAAAAGTGTGTTTGATATGGGCTGAGTATCATATTAGAGGAGATGAGGCTTCAGTTGGACCTTGAAGAATATGAAGAATTGAGATGAAGTGATTTGAGTTGGAGTACTTTAAATGTGAAGGTAGAGAACAGTGATATACTATCCCATATGTAAGCATATAAACATTTGTGTGTTATGGTGACAAGGCTGTTCTGATAAGGCTGGTGGTGGTTGGTTAGGAACCAAAGGAAAATAAGCTGGTATAGGAAGGATGGAATCAGATAGGGAGTTTTGAAAACCAGGTAAGAGTGTTGAACCACAAATATAGGCAATATATACTTTAGCAAGATGAAAGCATACTGAGTGCAGAGTACTAGAAATATGATTTTAATAGTAGTTACAGGAGTAAAAAAGTTGATACCTGGAAAAAAAGAAATAATGGGTCTTCATATAAAATTGTATAAATATATAAGAAATAAAGAGAAAGTAAGTCAAATGGCTCTCTTCGAAGCTGGAAGGCTCTTTGAAGTTGGAAGGCTACTACTAGAGGTAATACAAGACTAAATTGAGATTTTTAGGGCTTTCAGTAAATTGTGAGAAAGATGATATTTCAGATGTCACATACTGTGTTTAAAGTTATCCTGGAGCAATGATCTGTAACTGTTGGAAATACAGGAATGGAACACAGCTTACACTATAATTGCAGATAATACCTAGAGTTGTTGAGTACATAGTAATATTGAGTGAAAAACATAGCCTTAATAGGTAAAAGAAGAGAAGTCCAGACAAGGACGCAGAGATAGAGTGATTGGAAAGATGAAGGAGAAATCATCTCCTTCCGATGAAGGAGAAATTGGAAAAAAAAAAATCAGTATCACAGGTGTCAAAGATGAAGAAAGTGTCAAGAATCTGGTGGGTGTTCTATAATGCAGTGAAGTTGAGTTCTCTTATTGGAGTAGACATTTATGCAACTGTCTGCCCAGTATTCGCTTTCTTCTTTCTGTTGGGAATAGTTCCTCCACCTGTGTAATTCCTAAGGACTGGCATTTTCACATAACTCCACCCTTGCCAGTGCTGATGAAACCACAGGTGAGCATCTGACCCAGGTTATGCTGAATAGAATCCTATCATGAGAGTCTGAGCTGGAACTGAAAAAGAGATCCAGTCTTTTTCCAGTGCAGAGGTTACAAGATGTAAAACCAATGAGCTATGGCTGATCATGTTCCTGACCTACAGAGAAAAGGTGCAATGAATGTTTGGGCTATACCCAGTCCCTTGGTTAAAGGATATCCTGAAGCCCATCCTGAAGCCCAATTGCAAAATTACCCTTCATATGTTTTGGTAGTTCATCTTTTTCTTTCCATTCCATGAGTCAGTCTTTTTACTTTCCTCTTAAGCTAGTTTGAGTTCTGTTTCTGTCTTGTGCCAAAAAAGGTCTTGATTAATAAACTATGTAAATTCTTTTCTTACTTGTTCATCCATTTCAGATTCTTCATATACATTTAGGAGGAAATGTACAAGTCAGCATACACATACACAGATGTCTGCCCAAGTAACTTGAACCAAAAATGTGGCTAAATTACAAATGCATTTTTATCAACTATTTATTCTCTTCTGTGAATTCTACTGAAGCATTTTATTAAGAAGTTCAATTTGAAACAACTATGCCCTCTTTTGCACAGAAATCAATCCTTATGTATTCCCTTCAAAGAACATGATTTCTTCAGAAGCTATGTGTGCTAAAACTGCATGCTTGTGGAGCCAGAATTAGACGTCATTGTTTCTCTGGGCCTATATTTCCAGCAAGAATGACAGCAAAGATTTTAACAAGTTTACCAAGGGTAAGACACCATGATCAGTCAGCACAGATGTTGGTCTCAATAGACAGCATTTATACCAGAATTCTAGACCTTATCACTGAGAATACCTTCAATATTCCTTTAGATATTTCTTCCTGTGAAGAAAGAGGGTATAATTTGGGGGTTCCACACAGCACAAATGGATTTCTTCTTTGGTCTATCTGCCCCATCCCTGACAAAGTAAATAAGTAAACATCAAATGAACTCACCAGGTTTCCTACAGTCAACACACTACTGAATTGACCAGTCATTGGGTAGTGCTCCATGGCCATGAAGAGGGTATTCAAGACAATGCAAATAGTGATGGCAAGATCAACAAATGGATCCATAACAATTAAATTCACAAGATGCTTTACTTTTAACCATGGATCACAGCAGTCCCAGATCAAGAACACATTGGCAAATCTATACCAGCATGGTGGACATTTCTGCCTAGATTCTTCAAGCTCTGGAGGAACAATAAAGAGTAAGAGTAGTAAATAACAATAAAAACAAATTATTGTTGTTGCAGATTATACATTATTTGATAAAATTGATGCTTCTACTTGGGGTTGGAAGTTCATATTAGTTTAACAGACTTGAGAAGACAATCCCATTAAATATTTTCACAATATATTCATAAAAAATGTCAAGTAAATAGACTTTCTCCTTTAATTAAACAGAAAATAAATACTTTGAATTTAATATTTTGCCTCAAACTAACTTAATTATCTATTAAATAGGTAATGGGTCATTAAATTGCTATATTTTCTTTATCAAAACAGAATTTTAAAGTAAGCTTTTAGAATTATTAAATATATCAAACAATTATTCTTTTGAAAGACCTTTTTAAGAATACTGTCTAAAGCTGTGATCCTTATTAATGTGTGTGACCCATTCTTTCCTCTCTCTGTCTCCACATCAGCATTGATCTTCCACACACAGAGAATGTAGTATGTCCTTTTTAATATAGATTTAGACCCAAATCTAGTTCTGTTATTCATAATTACTCATATTTTTCAGAATTTTAGCTTAATATATTAAAAAGGCACTAGTAATTTAATGGATGAAACCTATTATAATTATTATATGCCCATTTGTATATCCAGTACGCCAATGGGATAAGATACAAAATGTAATTGAAGTTTTCTAAAGAATTCATATTAGATATGACTTATAAATGATTTATAAAATTGCAGTACTAATATTCCTCCAAACTTGAAGAAATGGGGTCTTAATGAATGAACAAGGAAGTAATAGTTGCTGCCCATTCCTGTGTATCAAAATCAACAAATATTTGTGTCAGCTGTTCATTGGAGGAATGTAATGGTTTCTGTGTATGTGGAAGATGGAGGAAAAAATCTTTTTTTAGGGTCCCTGTCGAAGTGGAGCACAGGTTTTGATTCCTCCAACTCATTCATATGCCTCCCCAACCCATCACTACCTCCATGCCTGGACAACAGATTGAAGCTTGAAAGAGATGTTTCCTTGTGCTTCTAAAACTTAAAAAGGCAAGTTTATACTCTAATTGCTTAAGGATAATATAACATAAGGATAAATCCTCACTGATGAGGTATCAAGTGGTGAAATATCGCTCTTCAGTTGAGAACCAGAATCAAAAAGAAATAAGGACAATATTAGTTTTTGTAATCAGTGTGATAATAGTGTATTCCATATATTATCTACTTAGGTCTATTATACAGTTTTGATCTTGGGTAACTGACTTTCGTAATTCTATGGGAATAAATAATAATAGTTCCATAAAGTATATAATCATAGGAAGCTGACTATCCCATGACCTTCTTCTTACCCTCCATTGTGTTAGTCAGGATGCTGGCTATGCTCATGGCTCTTTGTCTTCCGGAGGAATCCTCTAGCATCTCCATTGAAATCTGGTAAGAACTTAGTCTTCTCTTTCTGACTTCTGTTTCAGTGGTGGTACCCTGCAAACCAAACACTGCTGGCTCAAACCACCCTTTTCAATGAATAATACAACACAACGTAGCATTTCTCTGGAAAGGCATGCTACGTGCAGTTTTCCCAAGTAACAATTTTCAAGTAATAGTAAAATACTAAATTTATTATTAAGTTATAAATACTTAAAAAAATCACAGGTGGTACCCTAAAGGGTTAAAACAAGAATTTACTAGTTGGATGCAATTATATAAGGCAATTACGTTGCAGAAATATTTTAGTTTACCTGTTGGAATTTTCAGGGAAAATTTTCATAAGCATGCCAAAGTCATATATTATTCCATTTCATTCAAATGCAAGGAATTTTAACTTATCTCAATGATTAATAATCAGATCAATCTTCCCCCAAAACAAATAATAGTATTATATAGTCTTAAGGCCGAATTATTATCTTTGAGGCTATACTGAAAATATTGACATATATGGGCCAATTTTTTTCCATGCACAAACACAGATGTACAATGAAATGTGTGTGCTTTCCTGAGATTTCTTTAGTTATTTCTATATGCCATCCTATAAGAAATCAAAACACTTTAGAGTCATTTAATAGACATCAAAACATTTTAGAGTCACTGTAATATTGACAGTTGTATGAAAAGTGCCCATTATCAATATATTGGTCATTACAATATTTAATTTTAAGTATATGAAATTTCCAGAATATGAATAGATTATTATACAATTCTGGGTCGACAAACATCTATAATAGCAATTTGGTTGTCAAAGCGCCCATTATTTTGTGCTGGTAGGTCTACTGAATTTGCAGATACGAGTTTCATCCCAGTCTCTAAAAACTGGGCTCTTTTAACCTAAAGCATTTGGAAGTTAATGGTCCCACACAATTCAGTTGGTTCTAAAGATCCTATTGTTTTCCATTCAATAAATCATATATTATTTTTAAGGACTTTCATTTTGGGGAAGCAGGATGGTATAACAGGCTAAAATGCCCAGGCCTTGGTTATTTTAAATTGGTATATAATGTCAGTTGAGCTAATTTATTATCTATTATCACCTCTGGTGGAAGTTGTCCAGTAGGTGAGGTTAGAGCTGATGGTCCACCCACCAAGGAAACCACACCATTGCAATCCACAGTGCTGTGCATCTTCCCATTTGCTGGAAGCCCTGGCACCATCCTGGATGACATACTGGCCTGACTAACGTTACTGTTGCGTCGCTCTCCATGTCTGTGTGGCACAAACAGTGAGTCTCTCCTGCTCTCGCTGTCTTCAAATGTACTGTGTTCATCATCAGCAAAGTCATTTTCAGAACCAATATCCTTTGCCCGACCTCTGAAGCTGAAAATACTCGTTTTGCTATTGCGTCGTGGGGAAAACAGGGAGCCACGGATACTTAATAGAGACTGAGGAGAGAGCAAGGAAGAAAGGAATTGGGATGGGGGACACAACTATTTAATAAAAGTCTTAATATTACAGAATCTATTTGCTTTTGGGTTAGAATAGTCTTGCTCTTAAACACAGGTAATCAAGTTTACAGAGAACACATATGTTTTGATATTTTTATTAAAGACCACAATGCAAATTTAAGTATAAAAGAGTAGTTTTTCTGATTAAGAATTCTGATATGCAATCTACTAAGTGCGTGACCACTTCATTTAATCTTCACTCTAGTACTGTGAGGTGGATTTTGTTACTGTAATATTCTAGGAGCAGAACCTGATGCTGGAGAGGACAAATGATTCTTTTTGGTAGGTGGCTTTCACTCCTAAATGCTATGGTCTGAAAGGGCACACAACTTGGAAAACAAATTATGGTTCAAGTGAGACTGTTGGCTTAAATTTAAAATATTTGTACCAAATATGTTACTTTTGGATAATGATTTAAAAACAAAACCATTATCTCTCCATTCTCTTATTTTGAGTTCTAAAAGGAAATTGCTCTTTTTTTTCTGGACTTGCTTGTCTCTATCCACATGGGCATAAAAGTCACAAAACTTAACCTATGATGCTGTCTTCTAAATTTGCTAACAGTTTCCCAAATGGCTACTAATGATTCACCTGTTTTGAGGGAATATATGTCATAGCAAACGCAACAGAGAGAATGCCTAAATTGCTGTATAAATTACTATTCTTACTTAAAATTTAACACTGCCTTAAAAAAGTAAGACATTTATACATGACTTTACCAATAAGGGTGATGTAGAAGACAGCTTATCCTTCTAATCTCAATTTAATTTTTTTAAAAGGAACTGGATGATTCAGAAACTTTTAAAATTATATTTGTTTGTGAATAAATCAAGCAAACAGTTTCTGGTACTTGAAAATGAGGGTTTAGCATGAAGCCCCTTCTTCCACTTTTTCAATGGGCTTTAAATCAGCAGCATCAAATAATTCTGTGTTTATTTTAGCCTTGGTGAGTTTTCAAAAACATCTCTATTCTCTTACAGAATCTTTGTTTACTACCTTCCTCATTAACAATGACATTTCCAATATTCCCCTCCCACCCCCAGCGGTTTCTCATGGTCTGTTCTATCTCTCTGCATAGCCAGGGTAACATATATACATACATACACATACATATGCATACATATCCATATGCCAGCAGGAAACATGCCTGGACTTTCCCTTTCTTCCTCCAAGCTTCGGTGTAAAACCAAAGAAAATAATTCTAGTGGAAAAAAATGTAAGAAAGGCAGACTCCCTCAAATTTATTTTTGGTCCCTCTGCCTAATTAGGTCATGCTGATTTTCTTAGGCCCCATTTTTAGTTTTATTTTTATGGCTTTTCCCTGCCTGCAAAGCACTAGAATAATCTTTTTGCCGTCTGTCTCAGTGATGTTCTGGAAAGATGCTATTCATTGAGAAATGTGCTATTGCTTTGGATTTGGTTAGAAACATTCACAGGAATTATTGACTGCCCAGCTTATCTAGCCTGAGACTGTGTGTATGTGATACTCAGTTCATGCAGCAGGTTTGTTTACCCAATGTCAGACGGTAGTTAGACTGATTTTCCAGTCATCCATGTGACCAAGAAATTAGACATTGTGAAGACATTAATTCAGCCCTCAGTAATAGGGAATGGTAATGTTTTTAATCTCTTCAGACTCAATTTAAATTATCAATATAATATTTGTATGTTCAGACTCATATTTGAAACCTTAGTGTGTATTTTTAGGTCCCAGCTTTTTGGAATTGGGATTCAGTAAACAGGGGGTAGGACTCTGGAATCTGAGTATTCAACATACATTCTAGGTGATTCTAATGCAGGCGGACCTCACCCTACACTAAGAGGAATACCAACATTGTCTTACATTAATTCCTAGGATGGTTCAATACAATCATCTTAATATACCTGTGTTAGAATACTGAAAATACTGAAACTGAAAATCTGTATACACAGTACTGGTTGGGAGTATGTGGTATGTGTGTACATCCATAACGTATCTGGTACATGCCTTTAATTTGCATGTTTTTATGTCAGGCTGTTTTCAAAGGCGTTCCAGATCCTTGGGTTTATTTGAAACTTCTGTTCACTCTTTGGAAAGTATAATAATGGGTGTGAGCACAGCTTTCAAGGCAACAGAGACTGAGAAAAGAAGATAGCAAAAATAGTACTGAGAGAAAATAAACCAAAAATAACACACTAGAAGATGCAGCAGAGTGGAGGGAATACCCACAGCTGTGGCAGCCCTTTCTCTACGGAAAACAAGCTTTTATGTTTTAAGGACCTAAAGGCCATCTTTCTTTGCCTCAGGCATGCCAAAATATAAATTCCAGGCATCTTTTTTTTTTTTTTTGCCTTGTTCCAAGAAGGTAAATCTGAACTCTTTTACTTAATTTTCAGTAACAAAAGGGAAAATAGAAGAATTTAGGTGTGTAAGACACAATCCTGCATGTAGGGACTGAACCTGAAGTGGAATGGGATGTCAAAATGGAAGATGCAGGGGATTTGAAGATGTTCTAGTAGGAGCATGTAAAGTGAGTATTTGTTGGAAATACTCACTTAATAGCATTTCAAGTTAAATATATGTAGTTTATCAGTGTTTTCAATAAGTCAACAACTACACTTGGTTCTAGCTATAAAGCTTCTGGTTTAAAATAGTCTCCTCATGTCCAGACAACATAGATAAAATCTTTGGGGGGATTCACTTTCCATTGTATGCCTTTAAGTACTTTTTCATGCTGTCTAGGAACATGTATTATCTATTTAAGAATAAAATAATATAATAAATATAAAATAACATGTGAAGTTTATGTTAGTAGAGGACAGGGTACCCATTATTTATGGCTTCTTGGCCTTAACATTGTTAGAAGATATGTTTGTGTCGAACATTATGCCATGTCCATCTTACGCTTCCTATCCCCACTACCTCCACTGATTCTCTTACCTTTTAGAGAGTTTGTTTATACAACCAGACACTGTAAAGTGCTTCTGGTATATTTTTGCTTGTGAGTTGTGGTGATGCTCTCTGCCTGTCTTTACTGGGATATGTAACTATCAATGCTAATAGGCGATTTCTTTTTCTTTTGCAACATCTACTATCTATTTCATCTATCTATCTATCTATCTATCATCCTATCTTCTCTTTCTCTCTCTCCCTATCTACCTACCTACCTATCTACGTATGTCACTATCTGTCTATTTACAAATATGAAATGAACTACATATAACGTATGTATATGCCAATTCTGTTTTTAGTATTTAAACTCTGGCTTTCAGCTAACTTCCCTGTGCTGTTCCCTCTCTGTGGTTCACTCAACAGAGGTCTTCCAGCTGCTTCTTGAACATTCTGGGCATATTAGCACATCAGGGCCTTACACTTGCTCTTCAGTGAGCCTGAAATGCTCTTTGATGAGATAGCCTCTCCCCTTGCCTCCTCGAAATCTTTGCTGAGATTTCTCCTTTACAGTGAGGGCTTCCCAACCCACCCTATTTAAATTCTTTTTTTTTTTTTACCACCGGTTAGTGTTCCTAATCCCCTTTTCCCGCTTTATTTTTTTTTCCATAGCACTTATCACTTTCTGACATAGTCTATAACTTACTTATCTTGTTTATTGTCTATCTCTTCCTTTAGTATAAAGTTCCATGAGGTCAGTGAATTATATTGTTTTGTTCATTGAGATTTTTTTCTAGAACTCTTTCTTCCACATAGTAGGTGATCAATGTGGATTGGCTGAGTGAACTGATCCACAAGCTTTTGGCTGAGTGAACTAATCCACAAGCTTTTATTTGAGCATTATATGATGAAACAATGATGGAAATAGTGCTATTTTCAAAACACCTAAATATGTTCATGTAATTATTACTACTATGTGTATACATTTGTGATAACTGAAACTACTCAAAAAATTTTAGTTTCCCTAATTTGTAATTCAATGACCCATTTTAACTTAAGAGCTCTACTATTTGTCACATAGGGTTTCTATATATTGCTTAATATATAGAACTCTTTAAGAACCCACAGCTCTTTAAGGTAGACATTATTACCCCATTTTACAGAAATTTTACAAAGTACAAGTGACTCAAACAAGGTCACAGAACTAATTTGGAGTGGAGATATGAATATAAGCCTTCAATCATTATGCTATAATGTCAAATATTCCTAATCTTAATGACTCCTAATAGTCTTAATAATGCTAAAATATTAGGAAGTTTAAGCCAAAAAATCTAATCTGAGAAATTAACTTGGCCTATTGAGCCTCAAGTTAATCCCAAATGTATTATACTCATGTAATACCATACTTTATATTTGTACTATGCAAGGTAATAGTTGGATCTCTTGACACTGGCATTATCTGTACGGAAATGGTTTTTGTCTTATAAATTTTTATGTGTGTATATATATTTTGTCCTAATATGAGAATTCAAGTTATAAGTTATTAATATAGAGTTTATTTCTTTTTAAAATTCTTACTTACATATTCAATATAAACTATAAAATAAACACCCATTGTTAACTAGCATATGCATTTTCCTCAGCCAAGAGCTAAACACTACTGAATTTTGTGCTTATCACTCCATTTTTTCAAAAATATTTGTTTTTTATAAGACCCCTTGGATGATGTACAGTTTTTTGATTTAACTTAATTATATAGTGTGTCTCTCAAAGCATTATCTTTAGGACATGATTCTGACCCATATTAATATAATTAGAAGAGTTAATAATTCATAGCCCATGAAATTCTAATGGAACCAGATAGGGTTCAAAGCCATAATTGTACTTATCATAGATTTCATAACTATTTACTCTTCATTATGCAACTGATAAAACTTATAAACAAAGAGTTGAAACTATTTTCCCTCTTTGACTTGAAAATATGCTGAAGAATTGGGTACTTGGCATTAAATCAGAGCAAAAACAGACTGTCTTTAATTTAGTTCTCTTCGAGAGCATTTAGGTCATAACTTCATTCTAATGTATCAAGGCATGACACCATATCAGCATAATGGAAGCTCATGACAGTACAGTTGTCATATCAAAAGATGAAAGCAGGGCTTCCCTGGTGGCACAGTGGTTGGGAGTCTGCCTGCCAATGCAGGGGACACAGGTTCGAGCCCTGGTCCAGGAAGATCCCACATGCTGCGGAGCAACTAAGCCTGTGCACCACAACTACTGAGCCCACATACCACAACTACTGAAGCCCACGTGCCTAGAGCCTGAGCTCCGCAACAAGAGAAGCCACTGTAATGAGAAGCCCATGCGCCCTAATGAAGAGTAGCCCTCGCTCGCTGCAACAAGAGAAAGCCCACGTGCGGCAATAAAGACCCAATGCAAACAAAAATAAATAAATTAAATAAATAAATTTATTTTAAAAAAAGATAAAAGCAAAAATCCAGAGACATTTCTTTTCAAAATTCATACATATCTTGCATCACAACCTCAGATAATAAAGGCAGAAACCCATATGCAAAAAAAGTAGGTTCATCTGAGGTCTCAAAATGGAAAAGGTAAACAAGGGATTACAACACTGTCTCACTGAAGAAAAAAGTCTGATAGATAGCTTTCACTCCCCCAACTCCTAAAAAAGCTGATTAAGAAAATGGTCTCAAAATAGTGCAATGCTTAAAACTGATTACCTTAAAATGAAAGTTATTAATGATTTAATAAAAGTCCTTTTTAAAGACAATTTAGGGTATAAATTTAAATAATCGTATTAAATGTTAGTTCCCCGCCCCTCATTTAAATCAGGTATTACAAAAAATATACCAAAATACAACAATGACAAAACAAACTGGAGCACTTAGTAGAAAACCATACCTGATGAGGGGAGTAGAATTTCTTGTCACTAGTCAGTCGATTTCCATCCGTGGAGAAAAGGAAGCTTCTTCTTTTGACACTATCCTCAGATGCAGATTTGGGAAACCTGTTTCCCGCTCCTTTGTTTCCTTCAAGATGCTCCCTCTGTCTTCTTTTCTTTCTTCGGTTCCTCCACTCCTTAGCACTTTTAGAGCTTAATTTTGATGCTTCTGAAGAGCTTTCTAAGAGCTCTCCTAACCCACCTATTCCACTGAAATCTCTTGAAGCAGCTGATGCTGCTGCAACTGCCTGTTTAAACAAAACCAGGCATTATTTAGAACATACAACTTTGGAACAGTTGAATGTGATACAAATGTTGCTATTTAAGACTATTAACTATATGTGAAAATGATGTCTTCTGGTCATTTCATTGTGTTTTACTACAAGAGAGTTTACTTAATAATGACAATTTTAAATAGTATAAAGCAATACGTTAGTTTATGCATTAAGACTAGAAAAGTCTGGTTTGGCACATCTTCTGAAGAGTCTTTTTTTAAAAACTCTGTTGAGATTAGCTTCATTTCAGGGAACAACTGCTCTCTTAAAAATATCTTCTACACTTTAAAAGCAAATGTTCTCTAAGTGGTGGTTCTTGGTCTGATTACTATTCCAATTCCATCCATTGGTTTATTCCTCCCACTTGTGATTGTGAACAACCTAGTGGTATTTTTTCCTTCTAAATCTAGGGCAAAAGTCTTTTTCTTTTCTTTTTTTGTGAACTCAAAGCATTTAAAGTGTCTACTCTTTTACCTCTAGATGGGAGTAGTGGGAATGTATTGGCTAGTTGATCCTCTTCCTTTATCTGAATCACATTCAGTGTTATTGTTCCCATTCCTGGGGTCATATTAATCTCACAGTTTAACATGATTAATTTATTAGATAGCACTTTTAGCTTTAAATTTTAAACGTTTATATATTATTTATTATTATTATAAATAGTAACAAATTATTAACATATCAGTCAGTAAGTACCTGAAATAATCATTCAAGGGATTATGAGTACTTCTTGAAATACTTTCTTTTCATATTTCATCACTAAATATACTTAAGCATTTTGAATTTCTGTACCTACTAAAGAAACACAGCAGGTCTGAGGTGAAACATGGCATGCCAGATGTTTTGTATTTTTATTTATATGAATAGTAGTTTTAGATGGGAATTGATCTAACCAAACTGGAGAAGATATGAAACTCAAAGCTGAGTTCTCATTAAGTATATTCCTGTTTATAAACATAAATGATTAAATTATGAGAATATTGGTTCAACTCTTTACATATGTCATTACCGAATACAAACAAGTCTAATATAGCTACCATTTTGTTCTATCTTCTCCACTTAGACTCTAAGCTAGTTAGGAATTCTGTCATTTGTGTGTGTTTGTGTGTGTGTGTGTGTGTGTGTGTGTGTGTGTCTGTGTGCACATTGCCTCTTCTGTCTCCTGACATAAAAAAAGACTCAGTAAATATTTGGTGAATTAAGGCGAAAAAAGACATCGTGCTGTCAGTTGTCTTAGACACTGAGTGAGGGTGGGGGAAGAACAAGACATACTTAGACTTGACTTTTTAAGATCTCATAAAAACTATGTGTCAGAATGGTCTGTATAATAGAAATGTATTTTAGAAGAGAAGATAAAACTCATATTGAATGCTTTGACAACATGTTGTGCTTTATGTTTCCTTCTCCTTGAGAAGCAAACCTTTCTAAGTAGCTTCCATTTCTGAATCTCATCTCAACTAAAGATTTTAAAAAAGGTTTAAAACTAAAGGTGCTGTGATACAAATTCTCTGAGATTAACATGACCCCAGGGATGGGAACTATAGCATTACATATAGTACTAAATATGTGTGTTAGGCTAAGCAACACATAAAATGTTTATATTGAATACTATATTCATCATGGAAACCCAGATCTAAGACTCAATATAGGACAATGCCTAACATTTAAATGAAACTTTAATTCAGAACTTATAGAATTGCATATAATCAGATAACCAGATTATTTTATTGAATTCTTGATCATCAGTATCACTTTTAATATCATCAGTAATGAAAGATGAGAAATATTAAGGGCCCTTTATAAATATGAATGTTTAATATAAATGTGTAAAATAAAGTGGATAAATGAAGTACTAATCTGTAGCAAGTTAAATATAGTTGCATACTGCTTGATACATAGGAGATACATAATATACACCACTCCTTGAAAGAATGAATATATATATATATTTCTTTTTATCCAAATAAAGTCAATTCTCCTTTCCATTTTGTATAGGCAGAAACACACAACACATAGTGCTAATAATTTATTGGCTTGTTTGTCGTCAGGAACAAAGGACGTGGAAGTGGTGGTAATATTCCCTGGCCATAATTCTGAAACTCAGTTCATTTAAATCACTTCCGGAATTTGTTTTGCATAAGACATGATTTCCCTACCTATCATGGGTAACAGTTGGAGTAACTCAAAACCAGATTTGTAAGGCAACAACGGTAACCTCCCAACACAACACATTTTCTGTGTCACTCGTTAACTCAAATTTGTCACTTGTTCCACTTCCAAGGATTTGCCAATTCCCTTTCAAAGGCAGATGTTTCCTGTCACCTCCCATGTCTGTGTACCTGTTTATACCCAGCTCTGTGACATGGCCAGTGTCCTGTTTACTTAGACTAATAGGGTTACTTTCACAACTGGCTTGCTGAATTCCTCTTGTAACAAATAACAAATATGTGCTAATATTTCCACAGGGAATAACATTTGCCTTTTCTTATATCATTTCTGTGTGATTCAAAACGGACTCTATATCTTACTGTATCTGTGTGTCCTTAAAAAATAAAACCACATGACGATGTGTGATTATACTTCACTGTAAACATAAGATCCAGTTTTAAAATCCCATTTTAAAACTACAAGACATTAACTATACTTATTACAATTCTACCCCTAATTATATTGGATCTCTTAAATGCCACTATTTCTAATTTTGTCCCAAAGCTTACTCCTAAATTTTTCCTATCAGACCAATATATACTGCTATGGAATATGCTATGTTGGGCACTATTAGACGTTTAAAGATCACAAATTAAATGCCAAACACAAATATGACAGTATAGGACAAGACATTTCTTTCTTTGTTGGCTTTTCTCTCTCTGTCTTTTAAAGTTGTACTTGGTTTGTGAATCCACTGAGCTGAATATGAAAATTTTTTTTCATGTCTAAACAATGACTAGCACTAGGAGGTCCTTCAACAGTTATTAAATAAAAATGGAAATGATGCTAGGCTTCATGAAGTCATTAGCTAGATAGTAGCTTTTGAAGAGTCAAAGGTGGTTAGCAAGACGCGCATTACACTGGAGCACCAGTGATCTCATGGGTGGACTAAGTCCCCCCCGCCACCTGCTTCCACTCCCTCCTCTCCTTCAACACTGGCTATTTATTGGTCATTGTCAACTGCATTGTCAATAAGGAAATAAAATTAACTTAGGCCTGTGCCATCCCAGTCAATATTAAAACACTGGGATAAGATACCCTGGAATCAGTTTAAATTTTTTTTATGTATGAAGCTAAAGTTGAGTCAAATCATGATTTGATCACTGTAATCCAATAACTGACTTTTAAGTGAAGAGAACCGACATTTTTTTAGCTGACCTAATTAGGATAGAGATAATTAAGTTCTTTAAACTTCTGTTAGACATAGTGCACTTTTACTGCTAAATTTAAAAGATTGTACTCTTTTAATTGATGCCATATTTTCCCTAAAGTGGCTGAATTTCAGAGTACATTCTTACCCCTGTACTGTGTGTCTGTTTAATATTCTCAAGCACATCGCTTTGTCTGTTTTTATAAATGATAATAGAATAATCCAATGCTTTAAAATACAACTGTGCATTATCTATCTATATGTATACATGTATATTATTTCCTATAACATTTATTTAAGCTTTGAAATGAAGAAATTCTTTGCCCTGCAAATAACTATCTTATTTCATTATCTTACAAATGTGTTTTATTTGTAGTGATCTGGAATAAACTCTTAGATACTTGAAATATAGAAATTTATGGCAGGCATGTTGTATACTTTATAGGATTTTCAAGTATCACCAAATTTGTTTATGGCTTTTCTTATAAAATCAGTAAACTATAACCATATACTGCTCTGTACCCAATGGTAAGACGAAGATTCCAAGGATTTACTGACGTTCGAATAATGCTTCAAATATTTGGAAACATCCATCTGAAAAAAATCACTATGCACAAAAGTTATTTGGACTTCTGCTTCTGATCAAGATATAGTAACAGCTCAGATTTGCTCTTCCTCTGAAACAACCACTAAAACAGACTAAATACATGTAACAATGGTTTTGAAGACACTGTATGAATGGGCCATTGGGTAGAATTTTCAGGAGGATTTTCACTTAGTAGTAGGGAATAATTAGCCTTAGATAAAATTCTAAGTTCTACCTAACAAATCTTCAAAGATTTGAAGATCAAAAGGATCAAACTGTAATTTAACTATGCTCCCAAACAAGGATTGAGAATTTTTATAGGAATACAACAATATCCAGCACCCCAAAAGGTAAAGTTTCAGACGTCTGGAATTTAATTGAAGATTGTCAGAAATGCCAAAAAAATCAGGAATATATAACCAAAAATGAAGAATAAATTATGAAAATTGACCAAGATCTGACACAGATGTTAGAATTAGCAGACAAGGACTTTAGGATGCTAAACAGTTATTGTAACTGTATTGTGTATGTTCAAAATGTTAGCTGTGTGGGAGATATAAAAGAGATGCAGATCAAGCTTTTAGAGATGAAAACTATAATGTCTGAGATGAAAAATACAGTGGATGGGATTAATGGCAAATCCAGTGTTGCAGGAGAAAAGATGATAAATTTGAAGACATAACAATAGAAACTATCCATACTGAATTGACAAGCTGATTCTAAAACTCATATGAAGCTATACATTTTTAAAATATATTTGACCTGGAATAGTCAAAACAGTCTTGAAAAAGACTATCTGATTTCAAGACTGTAGCTATTAAATAGCTACAGTGATTAAGAGAGTGCAGTTTTGGTATAAAGAGAAGCAAACAGGGCTTCCCTGGTGGCGCAGTGGTTGAGAGTCCGCCTGCCGATGCAGGGGATACGGGTTCGTGCCCCGGTCTGGGAGGATCCCACATGCCGTGGAGCGGCTGGGCCCGTGAGCCATGGCCGTTGAGCCTGCTCGTCCGGAGCCTGTGCTCCACAATGGGAGAGGCCACAACAGTGAGAGGCCCACATACGGCAAAAAAAAAAAAAAAAAAAAAAAAAGAGAAGCAAACAAATCAATTGAATAGGATAGAATCCAGAAATAGACTCACTCACATATGGACAATTGATTTTTGACAAAGGTTCAGTGGCTGTTTAGTGGAGTAAAGATATTTCGTTCAACAAGTGGTGCTGGAATAATTAGATATCCATATGCCAAAAAATCCTCAACACATAAATCACACCACCTTACACAAAAATTAACTTAAAATGGGTCATTGACCTAAATACAAAACATAAAACTATAAAAATTTCAGAAGAAAAATTAGGAGAAAATATTTGTGATTTTGATTTGGCAGAAATTTCTTAGATGCAACACCAAAATCATGATCAAAGAAACAGAAAAAAAAGTTTGATAAACTGTACTTCATCAAAGTTAAAAACTCTTACCTCGGAAAAGTACAGTTAGGAGAATGAAAGACAAATTACAGACTGGGAGAAAATATTTGCAAAGCATAGATATCATGAAGGACTAAAGGACTTATTTCATTTATATATTAAAACTACTCAAACTCAAGAAAACAAACAACCCAGCTAAAAAATGGGCATAATATTTGAATATCCACTTTACAATAGAAGCTCTACAGATAGAAAATAAAAACATGAAAAGATGCTCAGATTCCTTAATAATTAAGAAAATGCAAAATAAGACATCAATGAAATACCTAGTAGAATGGTTCATAAGACTGATCATACCAAATGTTGGTGAAGACGTAGAGGATCTATAATTCTCGCTGAAGTGAATCGGATTTCGCTTTGTCTTCCCATGACTTTCACCTTCAATTTATGTTTTTTTCTTTAAATCAAGTACTGTTTTTCTCTCTCTTTTCCTCAAGACATGAATGCCCCATTTACTATGGCCCTAGCCCAAACGTCCTTTAATATTAATGAGAATTTAAAGTCGGAATCTAATAGCAGATGCCTTCCTGATATCCTGTTGTGCTATAGAAATTCCAAAGAATGGTTAAAGTTAGGTATGCATAAAGTTTTCTTGTTCACATTTGAGATCAATCAACTATAGAATAAAACTTCAAATGTTGTAATTAGGGGTAAAACAGGAATAGTTGGAAATATCCATTATGTATCTTTTCTACATTAAGCTGAAAATCAAAATCTCCCCTGAGTTTTCATGTGACAATTGCATAGTTAACCTTATTCTGAATATGTTTTCTACCATGAGCTAATTTCTTTATCTATAATATCTAAAAAGCTACTCTGACTCTAACTTAGGAAACAATTTTATGTTTGAATAGCTTTCTCTTTTCTAATGACAATGCCTGTATGCCAAATGAAAAGCCAGTTCCAGTTTGACCTCTATGGTACAACAATATTCCTACTTAAAACTAAATAATAATAACAATGATAATAATAACAATAAAGCAGCTTTGCTTATTATCACTTAGTACCTGAGCTTCTTCCTGTTGCTTTTTAATCTGTTCGAGCATTTGCTGAAATTCAGCCTCTTTCTGTTCTGCCTCTTCTAAGGTGGCCTGATTCTGTTCTTCATAGGCCATGGCTACCACAGCCAGGATCAAATTCACCAAATAAAAAGAGCCCAAGAAAATCACCAGGACAAAAAATATCATGTATGTTTTTCCAGCAGCACGTAACGTCTAGGGAAAAAAAAGAGATAAATTTCAACAATATTTTATAAAATGTCCCCAAATAAAGATCAGATTAGCATCATTAGACAGTCAGAAGACAAACGCTTTTTAGCATTCAATGTATTTTGACCAAGATTTTATTTGGTGTTAAAATGCACACACACACACAAACAGACACACAAATAATAGTTAAATTATTTGAGGCTTGATTGTAGTGTCATTTGATGTAAGCATACACATTTCAAATTAGTATATACTGGATATGTATTTGAGCACTACTAAAATGCTTTTCTTAGAGTCTATAATGTGGGGCAATATTACAGGTAAGGACACTATTTTTTTTTTTTTTTTGCGGCACACGGGCCTCTCACTGCTGTGGCCTCTCCCGCTGCAGGGCACAGGCTCCGGACGCGCAGGCCCAGCGGCCACGGCTGACGGGCCCAGCCGCTCCGCGGCACGAGGGATCTTCCCGGACCGGGGCACGAACCCGCCTCCCCTGCATCGGCAGGCGGACTCTCAACCACTGCGCCACCAGGGAAGCCCCAGGACACTATTTTTAATTCCTTTCAATGGAGTTACTACTCTCCACATCATCTAGAGATAACATCTTTCTTCCCTCCTCTTCTAGCTCCAATTAACCTTAGGTTTAATTTGAAATTTTTAAATAATTGAGTTTCGAAATCTTTCCACATGTTCTTGTTAAATCCACAACTATATTATAAACTCAAAGTCATGAACATTCTCTGCATCCTCCATAGCCCCTAGCAGAATGCTTGTCATCGAAGAATCTCAATATACATGTACTGACTGAATGAACAGTTGGGATCCTAGGCACACTTGCTTTATGCTGTACCCTTTTCTGTATTCTAGAGTATTATAAACAAATATCTATACTAGTCATTTCATATATGTTCATAAATTTAAATTTCATGCATGTTAGTTTGAACCTTTCTGCTGTGCTCTGAATGTGTGTGTGTGTGTGTGTGTGTGTGTGTGTGTGTGTGTGTCCACCAAATTCGTATGTTGAAATCCTAATGCCCATTGTGATGCTATTAGAAGGTGTGGCCTCTGGGAGGTGCTTAGGTCATGAGAGTGGAGCCCGCATGAATCGGCTAATAAAAAGAGTGCCTAATAAAAAGAGACTCCAGAGAGATCCCTAACCCCTTCCTCTGGGTGATGACACAGCAAGATGTCAGCTTATGAACCGGGAAGAGGGCTCTTGTCAGAATGCGATCATGCTGGTGTCTTGATCTTGGACTCCCCAGCCTCCAGAACTATGAGAAATGTATTTCTGTTACGGCATTTTGTTATAGCAACCCAAAGGGACTAATACACTTACCAGCTGGTAAAGGTTCTCCCAGTAGTCTTGAGTCATGAGTCGAAATAGAGACAAGAAAGCCCAGCTAAAAGTGTCGAAGCTTGTGTAGCCATAGTTGGGGTTTCGACCAGCCTTCACACAGATGTATCCTTCCGGACACTGGCTGCATGAGAGAGAAATGGAGCTGGGGTCAGCAGAGCAATTATAGCTATTTCAATCCATATTAATTTATAGGAATTGTCAAAACCCAGAGTTGCTGTCTGTGATGAATTTGCTTGCCTTCATTTCCAGAACACTTTAGATAATTGCTCACAGTGAAACTGTTATCAGATGAAATTTATTAGGAAAATCAATAGAAAACTTAGGTGTGAGGAATCATTTATAGACATTTAGAATGGCAGAGAGGCAGCAACCACACATTTTTTTGCCTCTGACACCTTTCTTTTCAAAGTAGCAAGAATCAATGATTAAAAATGAAAAGTCAGAAAACAACCAAAAGGTAGCGAACAACTTAATGAGTTACTTCATTAGTCACTTCTATAAAAATTCCTAAAATAAAACTTATATTTTAGAATAATTTTAGATATGCAGAAAAATTGCAAAGAGAGTACAGAGACTTTCCATTTATCCCATGCCTAGTTTCCCATATAATTAACATCTTATGTTGGTATGGTACATTTCAGTCAATATTGATATATTATTATTGGGCTTCCCTGGTGGCGCAGTGGTTGGGAGCCCGCCTGCTGATGCAGGGGACACAGGTTCGTGCCCCGGTCCGGGAAGATCCCACATGCCGTGGAGTGGCTGGGCCTGTGAGCCATGGCCGCTGAGCCTGTGCGTCCGGAGCCTGTGCTCCGCAACGGGAGAGGCCACAACAGTGAGAGGCCCACATATCGCAAAAAAAAAAAAAAAATTGATATATCATTATTAACCAAAGTCCATAATTTAGTCATATTTTCTCCGTTTTTCCCTAATATCCTTTTTATGTTCCAGGATCCCATCCAGGATGCACATTACATTTAGTCATCATGTCTCATTAGGCTCCTCTTGGCTGTGACAGTTTATCAGACTTTTCCTTGTTTCTGATTACCTTGACATTTTTGAGGAATACTGGTCAGGTATTTTGAAGAATATCTTTCAGTTGGGATTTGTCTGATGTTTTTCTCATGATTAGATATTGAGGTTATGGATTTTTTGGGAGGAAGACCACAGACGTAAAATATTATTATCCTTACATCATATCAAGGGTACATGCTATCAGTATGACTTATCACTGTTGATGCTAACTTTCATCACCTGACTTGAGATAGTGTTTGTCAGGTGAGATAGTGTTTGTCAGGTTTCTCCACTGTAAATCTACTCTTGTTTTTTCTTCTTTTTCCATACTGCACTCTTTGGAATAAAGTCATTATGTGCAGACTACACATAAGGAGCAGGGAGTTATGATCCACCTTCTTAAGAGTGGAGTATATACAGAAATTATTTGGAATTCTTCTGCATGAGATTTATCTATTATCTCTCATTTATTTATTTATTTATTCAATCAGTTATTTATATAAGTATGTACTCATGGATATTCATTTTATACTTTGAATTATAATACAATTATATTTATAATATAATTATTGTAATTTTTTGCTCAAATTGTTCCAGTTTTGGCCATTGGGAGCTTTTTCACTTGACTCCTGTATCTCTTTGCCACAACCCATGGAGGTGTGTATTTTGTTTTTGTTTGTTTTTCAGCACTTTCTTGCATTCTGGAACTACAAGATGCTCCAGGCTCATCTTTTATATTTTCTGCCCCAGTCCTAGAATCAGCCATTTCTCCAAGGAGCCTTTGCTCTTTTATTGAAGAACAGCGTTAGAAATCATGATAAGTGTGTGTATGTGTTTGTGTATACACATATATCTCCTCGCTCTGCCAGCTGAGCGCCTACAAGCAATGACACTGCCTTGGTAATAAACACAGCACCCAGATCTTGCTTTCTAATACCATATGTATATATTTTTGCATGTGCCTAGATTAAGCTAAATATATGGTCATACTCATTTCTCCAACTTTATTTTATTACTGTGGGATCATTCTGGATTGATCCTCCTCCCTTTGCTTGTCTGTAACCCTTCACTCCAAAAGTGAGAAACCTGGCTTCTGTCATCTGCTATCTATATACTTAATTGTTCAATACCAGTATACATGTATAGTTGTTTTAGTATTGTTAATCCATATTATCATGGAAAACAACTTTGTCAAATAGAGTACAGTTCCTTTTGCCTTAGTCTTACAGGCTCCATTCATTTCTAAAGTTACTTAGATTAGCACCTATTCCCCTCCTTCAGTGAGGTTATTTTATATTTTAAAATATATTTAGATACCTTTGTCACATTCTGTGTTTCAACCTGGGATCCCTAAACCTCACATAAGATTTTTTTTTTTACTTATACTGTTCAGTCTTTGTGCTGTAAAGTCCTATGAATTTGACAGATGCTTAATGTTCACCATTTCAGAATCATACAAAATCCCCTATGCATCAACCAGTCAAGGCCCTACCCTGAACCCCTGGAAAGCATTGATCTTTTTATCATCTCTATTGTGTATCTTTTTTAGAATGTCATGTAATTGGAATTATACAGAATGTAGCTTTTTCAGATTGGCTTTTTTTCACTTATTAATATGCATTTAAGGTTCATCAATGTTTTTATGGCTTGATAGCTCATTTCTTTTTATTACTCAGTAATATTTCATTGTATGAGCATACCACAGTTTGTTTACTCACTTCTTGAGGGATAACTTGATTGCTTCTAGTTTCTTGTGAATATGAATGCAGCTGCTATAAATATTCATATCAGGATTTTGTGTGGAGATAAATTTTCAAATTAATTAGCTAAATATTTAGTAGGGCAGTTGCTGAGTTGTATGGTAAGACTGTTTATTTTGTAAGAAACTGCCAAATTGTCTTTTAAAGTGGCTGTACTATTTTGCATTCCAACCAGCGATGAATGAACGAGAATTCCTGTTCTGCATCTTCACCAGCAGTTGGTACTTTCAGTTTTTTAAAAAAATTTCTGTCATTCTAATAGCTATATAGTAGTAACTCATTGTTGTTTTACTTTCAACTCCCTAGTGACAAAAGATGTTGAGCATCTTTATATATCCATATTAGCTATCTGTGTATATTCTTCTGTAAGGTGTCTGTTCAGAGTTTTGCCCATTTTTAAATTGGGTTATTTGCTTTCTTTTTTTGAGTTTTAAGGGTGCTTTGTTTATTTTGGATACAAGTCCTTTATCAGATATGTGTTTTGCAAATACTTTTTCCCACTCTATGGCTTGTCTTTTCACTCCCTTTACAGTGTCTTTGCAGAGCAGAAGCTTTTAATTTTAATAAAGTCCAACTTAGCAATTATTTCTTTCATGGACTGTGCTATTGGGGTTGCATTTAAAAACTCATCACAAATTCCAAAGTCATGTAGCTTTTATTTTATGTTTTCTTAAAGAATTTTAATAATTTTGTATTTTACTTTCAGGTTTATGATTAGTTTTGAGTTAATTTTTGTGTAGGGTGTGAAGCTGTATCTAGATTCATTTTATTGCATATGGATCACCAGTTGTTTTAGCACCATTTTTTGAAAAAATTTTCCTGTCTCTGTTGAATTGCATTTTCTTTGTCAAAAACTAGTTGACAACATTTTTGTGGTCTATTTTTTTGGCTGTCTGCCCTGTTTCATTGATCTATAGCTACTATTTCCCAATACCATATTGTCTTAATGACTATAGTCTTATAGGAAGTCTTGAAGTTGCATAGATTTCTTTAGAATTTTATTTGACATTTAACAATAGAGTGACGGTCAATTTTACCATGTAAATTACCTGACCCATAGCAGGTACTCAATAAAGGGAAGGGATTAGTATGGTTTAGTAGGGATAAAGTATGCATTAACCAACCTTATCCAAAATTTCATCTAGGTTTTTAACCGTAATAATAAAAACAATAGCTAACATGCAATAAATGTTTTTGATGGACCAGGTGCTAGTCCAAGTGCTTTATATGTATTAAGTAATTAATCACCATAATAGCCCCAAGGGAGAGATGATATTACTCTCTTCATTTTAGAAATAAATAAACTCAAATACAGAGAGCTTTGGACACTTTTCCAAGGTCAAAGAGATTTTAAATGGTGGAGGTAGGATTTGAACCCAGGTATACATAAACTGTAGAACCTATGCTCTTATTCACCATATTCTCCTACCAAAGTTTGAGAAAACTATCAGGAAAAAAAATTTTCCCCAAATTCCATCTCTGTGACTGGTATATGGTTTCAGTAACCCTCTTAAACCTTTATGACCACACCAGTTTCCCATTTTCTAGGATGACTCAAAATATGTTCTGTATAAGTTCTGTGATCTAAGAGTCACTTACTATTGCTATCCCTTGGCTTCTAAGAAATTCACTCTCTACCCTGATTTAAAATTAATTTATAATACTCTTGGCAAAATATGCTAAGTATGAGAGACTAGCAGGATAGCTAAGACATTACAGCATCTCTTATTGTGGAATGTGAAAAAAAACTGTAAAATATGCAGATGCAGACTCAAACATGCCTTTGACATACATCTGCCACGTGACTTCCTTGCACACAGGATTTCATGCTATTTCAAGAATACCTAAGTCTCTCAAAGCAGTTTCCCAACTGGGTTTGCACCCTGAAGACCATGTTACAGTCTGGATCATTTCTAGCCACAGCAAAACTTATCCCATCAATACATCTTCACATCAATCAAAATGTACCCATCTTATGTTTCCTTCCCTGTAATTCTTAAATGGCTCTGATGGGTTTACAGACAAGACAGATGCTGGGCCTTCACACTTGGAGCAATAATTCAGGTACATCCTAACTGTCAAATTCTTGATGACAGTTCTTCACCCAAAGGGATGATTTTAATGGCTGTGAGTTTAGAATTGATACCAATCCAATTAAGACAGAGAAGGTACTTCCTAGGTAGGCAGTACCACTCTTTATTATACACATGTAAGGCTACCCTGGTATATTTTTCCTATTTGCTTTTTTTCCAGAGTGTTCTACATCTTTAGAAAAAAGTTTTCCTTACCCTGCATCTGAGCCATTTCCACAGAGTAAAGGGTCTTTTTGTCCATCCAAAACATAAAAGTGACCTGTTAATATAAAGAATAAACTGTTTCATTTCATATCAGTCCTATTGCCATTAGGAACAAATGAGAATTTGTTTAGTTCAGTTATTTCCAAAGTGGACACCAATTTACAAAGATGGCTTCAAGCCCACAGCCTCAACTATTTATAGTTGAAAACTCATTCAGCAACACTGAGATTAACAATGGAGCAATCTTGGCTTACCTTCGTCTTCAATGTAATCCTTCCAGTTAAATGTGCTCATTGTTACATTAACAAATGTCCCATTTGAATTCATTGTGCCATTAAAGAAGGAGGTGGTGTTGGTTTCAAAAGCAGAATTGCTTGGGGGCCATTGCAAACATTTATTCCGCAGGTTGCCCATGAATAGCTGCAGACCAATTAGAGCAAACACGCTCAGACAGAACACAGTCAAGATCATGACGTCAGAAAGCTTCTTCACAGACTGGATCAGGGCACCCACGATGGTCTTTAAACCTGAGGAGAGAGAAGGATAGGTCAGCTGAGGAAGAGTGTCATAAGCCACAATGTCTTCTTAATAGTCATACACATTCTCTTTCCCCACAAACAATTGTTTGTCTCTTTAGACACCAAAGCTTTATGGACAGCCAGATGGTTTGGGAAATGGATGAAGAGCAGATTTTATTTATGATCAGTGTGCTTTCTGGAGGTTTAAAATAAAGGTGTAAATATCTAGGCAGGAGGTTTTCTTAATGTGTGGTTTTATGTGCTGCCACGAACGTGTAAAGGCAAACTTGCAGTTGTTTTACACTTCAGATTTTGTTTCATGAGGCTGTTTCTCTCCAACCATTTTTTAATACTAGCTTCCAAGTAGCAATGATTTAGAGGAGGAAGGAATTTTAAAATAATAAAAATCCTATGCCATGTACATGCTGTTCAATAATAATCTTTGCTCCTTTATAAGAGGAGATCCACTTTCAAAATAGATCCGCGGTAAATGGTAAAATCTAAATCAGTTAGTAAAGCCATGGTAGCAAAGCTTTTTTAGAATGTAAGAAAAAGAAAACATTGCATCATAAATGCAAAAAAAAGTGGGTGAGAAAGAGAGCAAAACCAGTATTTTTTATAGACACCTCATGCAATTCTGTTAAACTCAAAGGCTGACTTTATAAATAAACATGCAACTTCATTTGACATTCTTTTTTTTTTTTTTTTTTTTTGCGGTATGCGGGCCTCTCACTGCTGTGGCCTCTCCCGTGGCGGAGCACAGGCTCCGGACACGCAGGCCCAGCGGCCATGGCTTACGGGCCCAGCCGCTCCACGGCATGCGGGATCCTCCCGGACCGGGGCACGAACCCGCGTCCCCTGCATCGGCAGGCGGACTCTCAACCACTGCGCCACCAGGGAGGCCCCATTTGGCATTCTTGAAGATGAAAAACAATAAGCAACAAGACTAATGTTATAAGTGTAATTTCAACCTCAGTATTATTACAGTGTATTTAAAGTCAACCTCGGTGTTTAAGCTAGCTCTCACCTGGAATGACTGAAATTGTTTTCAGTGCTCGGAGAACTCTGAATGTTCTCAATGCTGAGACATTGCCCAGGTCCACAAACTCTGTCACATATCTGTAATAGGGAGTTCACACACAAACACAATAACACAAAAGAAAAGTTGGAGATATAAGGGGCCTACCATCTTACACCAGTTTCTTCTTACCTGGGATTACAGAAATAGTTTTCAGAGCTCTCAAGACTCTGAAAGTTCGAAGGGCTGAAACATTGCCTAGGCTTACAAATTCTGTTACATACCTGTAGAATTAAATCAGAGTTACTGATAGTTTTGGAAAAATTTATACTAAATAAAGAATGAAAAGTGGTTTGGATTGGCACATAGAGCCCCTTGAGTTTTATGGAAATGCTATAGACTTCAGGGTGCCATGTGCTAACAGCTGCCTTTACGGAATAAAATATTGCTGCTTTATTTCAATGCAGTTTTCACTAATAGGAACAAGTTTGTTTACAAAACTAATCAAAGTACAGTTGGTGGTATTAAATTATAGTCAATGAATAACTTCACTTTGATGAAGTAGAAGGCTATATGGCATGAAGGTAATTCCATTTATTGCTCATTTACCAGATATATTTACCTTGCAATATATATTCTAATATGTATTCTCAAAATATATGAGGCATATAGTTAATTTGGCTTATAAGCAACCTCTACTTTAAAAATATGTCACAACTACCTGATTTATGCTGCAACTATTTTCATTCCTTTGAGCTTAACATGTTTTCAAAAATACTCACGCCATCACAATGACACTGAAATCCAGCCAGTTCCATGGATCACGAAGGAATGTAAAATCTTCTAAGCAAAACCCTCTTGCCAAGATTTTTATAAGTGACTCAAAGGTATAGATTCCAGTGAACGTGTACCTAGGAAAAGCATCCAAACAAAAATTAACTGCTTCGTTTGAACTGTTAAAATATAGCAAATCCTATCCTTTTGTGGTTTTTCACTTCACTAAGACTTTGTTCCTTATTTCCACTTACAAAAAAACCCAGCTAGTTTAATCTTATGAGCTTGAATAAAGGGTTAAACTGAAGAGATAATATCTTCCACAAAGAATCTGATGTTGTTTAAATATTTAGGTTTTAGAATAATAGTTTCATGTGTTTTATGGATATTTATCAAGCTTGATCTGCTAGAGCAACACTGTCCAAATGAAATATAATACAAGCTACATATGTAGTTTTTAAGTTTCTAGTAACCAAATAAAAAAGTAAGAAGGAATGAGTAAACTTAGTTTGCATATTATATTTTATTTAAACCAATATATCTAAAATGTTATCCTTTCAACAATTAAGACTAGCCAAATTTCAAGTTTCAATAGCTGCATGTGGCTCATTGGACATTATAGCTCATTGGACATTATAGCTCTAGAGATAACATTTCTTGGATTTGTTTATTTATAATAAAATATTTCACTCAGATTTCTTAATGATTAAAATAATTTTGGGCGATATTTTACATGTCTAATCTAGAAAATGTACTTCCCCTTTTTTTTTTTTTTTTTTATTTTGCGGTACGCGGGTCTCTCACTGTTGTGGCCTCTCCCGTTGCGGAGCACAGGCTCCAGATGCGCAGGCTCAGCGGCCATTGGTCACGGGCCCAGCCACTCCGCGGCATGTGGGATCTTCCCGGACCGGGGCACGAACCCATGTCCCCTTCATCGGCAGGTGGACTCTCAACCACTGTGCCACCAGGGAAGCCCTACTTCCCCTTTTTATCCTTAAGA